GTGAGGAACACGGGGAAGGTTTTCCTTAGCTAAACTGCATCGACCACAATTATTTGCCTATAGTGTCTGCTTCCACTATAGGAAAAAAGCAAGCCTCACCAGCTGACTCTAAAACCCAGAAGCAACATCAGAGGTCAATTAGGCCAACCCTATTTTACGTGGTCTGGAGAAGAAAAGGTTGACCCAATATCACATGGTTAAATAGCAACAGAGACACTAAGAACCTAAACCCAACTCCTGCAGCAAGTCTCTTCCTATTACAATTTGCTATCTAGACTTTGTGTTAATCATTATCCCTTTTACGTTATCTTTTGAAATGAAAGTTATGGTCATTCTATTTTTATCTGTTATTCCTGAAGCTCCTGCCAAAGATCTGTCAAAAAGATCTATGACTGTACCTCAGTGACTAGGCTAAAGGAAAAGGAGAAAGAAGCACATCTTAGATTTACTTAAGGGCCATATTGACTGTAACTTGCCAGAAAGAGCACTTTGACTTCCAGGGAAAGCAGCCTGTAGGGGGCGTTGCTGGCAGACACAGAGAGCTCTTCCATGATGTCAGAACTAGGGCCTCTTTGTGAAATGTCCTGTTAAATCTCTTTTTAGTATCCTTTTAATAACTTACTCTGTCAAGGTGGGAAGAGAAGGTAAAGAGAAAGTAAAGTTGTATTAGCTCATATATCAATTCACTTTTGGTAATTTTTATTGAAAATGAAGATAGAGTTTATTTTGAATATTTCTAGTCAAGATAATAGGAAATATAAAAAATTCCCAGATGATATCAAGATTTCCCCACAAACTTAGTACTTTAGTGAGTTTATAATGTTTAGAACAACCAAACCTAAGTCAGATGTGAATCATGAAGGCTCAGATTAAAGAGAAAGCTCTTTAATCATCTGAGTGTTTTGTTTTTCTTCAACACCAACATTCAAATGCTGATATAATTTAAGTTTTATTAGTTAAAAAATCCAAAATGTCATAATGAAACCACTACTTTTTACAATTTTATATACAAAACATTTTAATATAAAAAATTAATGTTAGATACTAGTTCACATTACTTGTCATCATTTCTAACATTAGCACTTTCTTTTACTTCTGTTTTCTCTTTTTTTCAAATAGTGATTCTCAATTTTTGTCTATCCAGTCCAGTTGAGAGATTTTTGTTGCTGCTGTTCACAATAACAATGACTCACTCTTGCATTAACTCTTAGTAATAAAATCATATTTCTTCATTGTAACAGTCTTCTCATTAAGCTGTGGTTTAAATATAATTAAGCATCCTGGATGTCCATATATCCTAAAGGAATGAATGATATATGATATTTCCCAAGCTTATATGACAAAACTTCAAAGCTTCTCCACCTTGACCTATGCATTACCTCTCTGGCCTCAGGTTGAAAGATCCTTTCATCATACAATGAGTTCTTACTTAAACTCTGAAGCAAAAATTAAGATGTTATTCAAGCTTGTAATCACAGCACTGGGGAGTCCAAGGTAGGGGGATTCTGAGCCAAGGCCTGTCTGAGTGACACAACATGACCCTGTTTCAAAAAAAACAAAACAAAACAAAAAAATTGATTTGCTGAAAAAAAAACTTCCACTTTGGTGAATTCACAGTCAATGACCATTCTTTGAGGGTTCTTTCCATAATCCGGAGTATACATAGGGCTGAGGAAATTTTTAAATCATGGGCTATATTTACCCACTATCAACAAAATAGGGAAATGGGGCTAAACCTAGTCTTTTCCTTTCCTCCCTGTAATTTCCTCTGCTTCTAATTTCGTAGCAATAGAGTTTCAACTAGTTAATCAAATGTCTTTTGTGTGGCAGGTGCCAGAGCGCTTGTTTTCATTAGCGTACCAAATGCCATATTTAGGAACTTGGCCTTTTGGTTAACTGGCTACAAGCATGGCTTTAAACCATTAAATGAATGCATTTAAACTCAGCATTTATTTTTACTTCTCCCTTTCCAAATAATCAGGATGTGGCTATCTGTTAGATGATACATGATGACTTTTTTCTATATACACCCAAGCACAAAAATATATGCCTCAGACATAATCATCAATACTGTAAACACCCATCATCCTGTGCCATTTGTAAGACTGCAGAGATGAAGAGAAACCTAGATAGTAAAATGTGAATAAAAATAGAGGAAATCCACATGGAAAGACTTATAAAACTGGGCAATTTTTCACTTTGTGACCTATTTTTAACTTAATAAAAAGTGAGGAAGGAAAACATTACAATGGTAGCTTATCTTTGATTCAATGAGAGCTATTTTTCAAAACATACAAATTATGAGATTAATTGAAAGCACAGCTATGTTCTTAAAATATCTTTCTTCATGTGGCAAAAAGTCCAAAAGATCAGCAAATACGGGAGAAGAATATGAGTAAGCAAATGACTGATTTTGTAAAGGAAGAGCTAATGCAGTTTTTCGTTCGTGTTTTTAACAAATAATTACTATGGCACTCTTGTTATTTGTCTATTTTTTCTATCTAGGGACATAGTCATAATATATTATTTTCTGATACTGAAAATCTCAACTCAACTATCAATCTAACAAAAAGAGAATACAGGAAGAATTTACTGCCACCTTCCAGAAAAAGATGGAATACAGAGAAGTAGTTCTATGTGGCAACATTTCAAAATGACTAATTAATGTCATAATGAATCTATTTTAGGCTAAATTATGTGAAGTTGAACTTATATTTGATAAAATAATGTTATAGACAATACTTAATTGTTCTGTCTGTCTTATATCTTAATCAACATACTTAATACCAATGCTACTATATCTAATAAAACATTTATTCACATTCTGGCATATAACAATTATTACTAAAATATACACTGAAGTTTTATGGTAATAATTTTTAAGGACTTATAAAGGAAATCTTGGCTCATACCAAATTGTATATAGTTATTGAAGAAACATTTAGTAATGTCTCATACATGTAACTTCACTTACAAATTGTAACTACTATATTACAAACAGGGGTTATATATGAATTAATTCAATCCTCTCAAAGTTCTTTGAGTTGGGAATTATTTTATGACTTCACAAACAAGAAAAATAATGATTAAGTGGGTTAAACAATACACATCCAAAGTCACAGTAATACTAAAGCAAAATGCGACCCAAAACCAAATCATTACAGTCCATGCTAACATTCCTTTCTCTTTGCCCCCAACAGGTTTTCCAAATGATTGAAGGTAATAGAAGGCCGTAACTCTTCCTCAGTAGAACAATGCCTCTTCCTTTACTATGAAGTGTTACGAGGTCAAGTGGTCAAGCTAGCAACCAGCCAGCCTGATATAATTGGCTGTATAGTGGTTTTAATCTAAAAAGAATCAGAAATTTATAAGTGACACATCTTTGTGCTTACTATCCAGAATTATCAATTTAATATTTTTACATATTTCCTTTAAAAACATTAGATATTAAGAGCTAAGTCCCTTATGTTTCCTCCATAATCGTACTCACTCTCTTTCCTCCTCAGAGGAGCAATAATTGTGAGTCATGTTTGACTGGTATATTTTATAGTTATATGTATAGATTCCAAACTATATGGAAATGCTTTGTGTATTTCCAATTTAGGTAAATGGTCTTATGATATATATATTATTTTACACTTCTCTATTCACCCCTTAAAAACTCTGTCTTGAAATCCACATATATAGACACACATACATTTAAGTCATTTTGCAGTAAATACACATTTTTCTAAGTTATTATTTTAAATTCATAGTTTAAATATGTCTCAGTTAATAAACCTATTTTCTTTTGAATATAGCACATGGTTGACTTCAATTTTTTACTATTATGAACAGTGAGGCTGTGAACTTTCAGACACATATCTCCTTATAAACATGTAAGAATTTCTCAAGAATATATACTCAAAAGCAAAATAAATGTGTCATAAGTAGAACACGACTATTTTCAACTTTTCTTTTTATTGGCCAATTTTCTTCAAGTGATTGTATCCATTTCCAACTCCACCAACATTTTTTGTATTTTCTTTTTCTTAACCTTATTCTAATATTTGCAAAGGTAACTTTACTTTTTTTGTTCATCTTATGTTCCCAAAATGGTGAATCACTTTTCTTTTTGTTTACATTAAGTAGGTTGCATGTGCTGTGGAATATTTATTTTCCATGAAGTTCTCTACTTTTCTATGAAATGTCTATTCATAAATTTAGCCTATTTTAATTTGATTGTGTATATATTTTGTAAATTTTATTTATCAGACTTACATACATATTCTAGATACTAATTTTTCTTCTTTACATATGTTGAAGATATTTTCCACTTTGTAATTTGTGCTCTGATTTTGTTTATTACATCTTATCATACAGAATTTTTCAATTTTGATATATTAAAATTTGACAATTTTTTTATATAGGATGTCCACTTTTTTTCTTTTCTTGTGGTGATAGGATTCAAATCCAGGGCCTTGCACATGGTAGGAAAGTGTTCTACCACTGAGTTCCATTCTCAGCTCCAGGATGCCCCCCTTCTAAATCTTGCTTAGGTAAACCTGACATAACACAAGCATGTAAAGGTATTCTCTTACTGAATATGTAATGTTTTCAAAAATTTTAATTTAAATGCCTTTAGATGTACCACATTCTCTCTGGTTCAGATCCCACCAGGCTTATTCTCTTACACCTTGCCAATTTTACATATTTCTCCTTAGGTGCAATAAGTTGTAGTCTCTATATAATGAACTTGATTTCTCATGATCTAGGTTAGTTTGGGTTAAATTATTATTATAGCTATGCAAACCTAACCTAGGTTTCCATGGAAATGAATGTTGGTCTGTGAGAATGACAACTTCTATCAAATATTATTTAAGTTGGTGAAATGCATTCCTAAATACCAAAGTAAATGTTTTGGCTTATTATGTCCCTCTAACAAGCTTTGTAAGAGCTTTTGTTTTCTATCTTTACATTCCAAACTAGTTGATGCTAATCCTGATGTATGTGGCCCTTAGATGCTGGACTGGAGATTGGCAAGTGCACAGTTCATCCTGGCTATGACTTTGATGCTATGGAGTTCAGGAAAAGTCCTCTCAGTGGAAGTAGCAACAGAGGTAATGGAAAACAGCGTACAGGACCATATCTATATTTTATGGACATAAGTCATTTCTACTAGAGCCAGAAGGAGATGTAGCTGACAACCAGGGAAATGTTTTGATAACACAAAATCAAGGAAATAGCTATTTTTCCATTGTCTTATTTTTATTCCCAATGGCATTCAAGGTTGCAAACTTTAGAAATAAACAGCAATAACTATTAATCTTCTCAGTGGATTCAGAACAAGTCATTTATCTAGACATTGAAAGAAATCTAAATAAGAAAAATCTTTATCACTCATACAAAAATCAAGGAAATTTATTATTATTTCAACCATAAGTTAATTTCACCAATTGTACCAAGATGAAGTGCTACTATATAAAATTTGAAGTTGTTTGCATCCCAGATTTTGTGTAGTTTTGACCAATTCTTTTACTACAATGCAAATGTTTTCTGGGTGCCATGACTGAAGTACAAAAAAAAGAACTCTGAGGACATTTCCACACAGAGAAAGTTAATTTGGCTTATTTGATCTTATGAGAAACAAAAGTACTCTGTACTTATTCAATAAAATAAAGTGAGAGTTTAAAGTGAATTTTACAAAAGGATAAATTTTGTATGAGTTCTATGATTATTCTTCTGAGGATTAAGAATATCTTTTAAAAGAAACAAAATTCTATTTTGTATGTTTGGTAGTTGGAAAAATAAAAGCATGTGTTTGGAGGATGCTTTGGGAGATAATAAAAGATCCTTGCCTTTTTAAGGTTTGTCTTCTGCTCTTTTGGGATTCTTTTTTGTGATTTTAGCATTCTTCCCTCTCCAGTTTCTAGGTTGTAACCAAAAGTGTGACACATGGAAGAATGTCATTAAGGGGAGAAAAGAAAGAAATTCCCTGGAGCTAGTTTCCTCCCATTAGGGAATAATCTCAGGTTCTTGGAATGACTCAAGACTATTAACAGGAGCAGTTTTTGAAATTCTGTTATTTGAACTTAAAAAAGGAAAACTTCACAAAGTGGACACACCTATACTTTTATGACTTGGGTAAAATACAAAGAGACAATATATATAACAAATAAAGTAACAAAAAATTTAACTAGGACAATAAAATTATTGGAATAGTTCTGTCACATAATAGATGTTCATGAATACTTGTTAACAAATCACATGGATAAAGATGTTAAATTCACGAGGCTCAGAGACTGGATTTTGTTCATTTTTGTGTCCCTTAAATCTAAGGCAGAATCTGATACATGATGAAATTTTAGTGGTTTGTATAAATAAATAATAAATGAGTGGCAAACAGAAAATAGTATGAGGTTTGTTTTTCAGGACTCATACAATATTCATCATAAATTTATTGAATACTATAATCAAAATAGTGCGATATGCATCAAATAGAGTAAATAAGAGTTTAATTAGTTATTGTCCATAAGTTATTTACAATCTAATAATAAATGCAAATTTATTGTAACCAATCTAATAATAGGTAAAATGTAACTGTAAAGAAGAGATATAGATACAATGCTACAGTAATGATAAGGAAGGATGCAGTTGTTACTGGGACTAAGTCTGAAAGAACAGTCAGTGAATATGTTAAATTTTAGAAAAAAATCCCCTAGCTTTGTTTTGTGTTTTTTCTTGGATATACTCCACTTCTACGTGTTTCAGTCCCCAAAAGTTTAGCTTTCTCTCTGAAATATAATTCCATGAAATATTATAAAATGTTGTGTAATAGGCATGTCATCTAAAGGTAGAAAATGCTTAATGCAGATGGATTGAACATATTTTTAGTTTCTTTGTCTAAATGAATAGAATCTTTCTATGTCCAATAGGCCTTTGATTCTGGACTCACAGAAGTGCACTTACCACCAACAGTCAGGGAGGAGAAATCAGCCACTGACCTGGCAGCAAAGCTCTTGCTCCTCAATGAACTTGTATCCTTGGAGAACGATGTGGTTGAGACAAAGAAGAAGAGGAGCTTCTCTGGTTTTGGGTCTCCCCTGGACAGACTCTCAGCTGGCTCTGTAGATCGCAAAGGTAAACAGAGGTAAGTGCAAAAGGAAAGTTTTCATTGTCTGATTCTTTCATTCTGGGTCCTGATAAGAGAATTCTACATTTTAAAAATGCAGTAAAAAACAACTTGTTTGTTAAATAGTATGGTTTTGGAAGTAACTACTTAGGGAGCAACATGACTACTATAGTATGAGTCAAAATTTAGTCATAATGTTTTCTAATGAAGACCCTATTGTATGGAGATAGAAAAAAATAGTTATGGTAAGACACTATTACGTGTGAGAGGTGCAGACGAAAGTGTGAAAACTGAGATAGTCTGTTCACTTGCATTTTCTATTTAATAAATCTGACTATTTTTTATCCTTAATACATAGCTTGGTAAAATAGGTAAATTAATTTCTTCTCCTATAATAAGAAGTAATGAAGAACTCTCAGGACTAGGGGTCAGAAGACAAGTCTTTTAATGAAAATTCTGTTATTTTCTAGTCATTTAACTTGTACAAATTATCTTATCCTCTAAGAGGCTCCACTTACTTCTCTATAAAATGACTGTAAGGGGCTGGTGGAGTGGCTCAAGTGGTAGAGCACTCACCTAGCAAGAGGGAATCCCTGAGTTCAAATCCCAGTACTGAAAAAATTAATAAATAAATAAGTGTAATTACTTACCTCTGCAAACATCAGATGAGTTAATCAAATAGAAGTACTTTTTAGCCATTAACCACTATAACATAATTAAAATAAATACATATACTTTAATTAATGATTAAAGAATCATTGAATAACTCTTAGTATTTTAAAGCAATCATTGCAAACTTAACTCATTTCCTGCCCCCTCAATATCTGTTCCTCATGTTGTATATTTTGTCTTAGTAATGGCACAAGAGACTATTCGATTACCATAGCCAAGTCTCTGAGGTGGATTGATTAAGATTCCCTTTACTTTTCTCTTACCCTGAACTTTCCAATTCCCACTAAGTTCTCTCAATCCTATTTTTATAGCAGATGATAGATAGATAGTCCTCCCCCCATTAAGGCTTTCCTAATTCTGGCCTAAATTATTATTTTTTTCACATTTGTTTTTTCTGTAGTCTTTCCTCATCTCTGCCTCTGCCACCTTCACCCCCTTTCATCACCAGTGTATTACACTTTGAGGATGATCATCTGCAAAAAATCTTTCTTTAATGCCACTGGGGCTTGAACTCAGGGCCTACACATTGAGCCACTCTACCAGCCCTTTTCCTGTGATGGATTTTTTCTAGATAGGGTCTCACGAACTATTTGCCAGGGCTGGCTTCAAACCGCCATCCTCCTGAACTCTGCCTCCCGAGTAGCTAGGATTTCACGCGTGAGCCACCAGTGTCCAGCCTACAAAAAAAAAAAAAATCTTTGTCTGAAATGTTACCTATTGCTTGCAGCATAAAGTCAACCCTAAAAATCAATAGCAAAATAGCAAACCCTACAAAGAATTTCCTGACCTGACACCTCAATCTTTCTTGATCATCTGCATAGCCTTTTCCAAGGCTGACTTGGTTTACTTAGGGTTCTAGGAACTGTCAGTCTGTTTGCTGACTTCATTCATTGATTATCTGGACAGAATACAGCTTTCCAGGCCTCTGTTGTGAAAGAGTCTTAAAGCTACATTAGGAATGGAACTATCCACCATAAACTGTAATTTATCTAACCAGTACTTGGAAAATAATTCAGACTCCAAGTAGACAAATACAAATTATTTCCACATATGTTCCAGGTACTGTGTTGGAGTCTGGTGGGAAAAAGAAGTAAAACATAATCTCTAGCCCTCAAAGAAATCAGATACTAATGAGAAATAGAAATATTCATAGGGATTATATTAAAAATGAGAATTATATGATTATTAAATGAGATTATATTTTTAAATGTTTGAAGAGAAATTTTAAATGAAAATCTACAATCCAAAAAGACTTTTAAAGGAAAAAATGTGCCTTCTAATAAATATTATTTCTTTTCTCATGGATCTTGCAACATCACCAACTAAATAATCTGAAAATCAATGTGCATATGATAAAAGTAAATATTATAGTAGCGTAGACAGCATAAATACCAAGTATATATTATAAAATTGTAAACATAATATAAATATTTACTCTACACTGAAGTTTCTCTTGCCATAAGAATTTGTTTAGGAAGTGTCATAAAGACAAGACTGTGTTAGGAGATATAATCAGCCTGTTTTCTATCTCTCCAACATGGCTCAGTTTATAAGAAATAAAGAGAAATTGGTGAGCTGGTAGAATGGTTCAAGTGGTAGAGCGCCTGCATAGCAAGTGTGAGACCCTAAGTTCAAACCCCAGTACCATCAAAAAAAAAAAGAGAGAAATTGGCGAATGTTTAATATCCATCTGAACAGATTTTCACATATAAAATCTATAAAACTATTTTAAGCATATAAAAATTTAGGAGATGTTGCTCACATGAGCACATCCTTAGGAAGACAACAGGTGAGTTACTTTTGGCAACCAAAGCAACTTGAGAATTATTGCTGTAAGAATTGGTTGCAAGCATTACCTTTAAAACTAATCTGAAATGATGATTTTGAGGAAGACAGTGATGTATTATACTATTGGTCTAGCAATATAGATACAGCATAATCTGTCAAACATTCAAGGACAACGGTGAGACCATATAAAATTTAAGATGAATTTTTATTTTTTATAGCCATTAAATGGGAATAAGAACAAATAAAATTAGAGCTGGCAGATACATCCTTAATATTATGTGTGTGTTCATGACTGTTTGAGTGTCTACTTCAGTCCAAAAACATATCTTATTTAATGAAGGGATATACTTGAAGGTTTTTTAAAATGAAGAATAAAAATTAATACCCATTACTTATACTACTATTTAGAAATCCACTTAGGCAAATGAAAACATTCAGAAGAATTAAAACTATATTTATACATTATGTACATAACTAAGATAATAAATGAAAAACTAGTAGAACCAAATTCTTTTAGTAAAAATAACAGAGAAGTACATAGACATATAAAAGTTAATACAGCCCTTCTATCTGAAAACAGAAATCATATGAAACATGCAAAAGAAGATCTCATTTAAATGCCTGAAGAGAGGAAACTAATGTCAGTGGTGTAGCTCAACAATAGAGAACTTGCCCGGTATGCACAAAGCCCTGGTTCAAACTCTAGCACCTCTAAGGAAAAAAAAATGTCAGGAATATACTTAGGCATAAAGGTAAAAATGTATGTTCAGAGAAGATGTGAGCTAAACTACAAAAGTAATGCCAAAATATGAAAAATAGCTCTGAACAAATAGAGACATACACACTATGTTCTTGGGACAAAAGACTCAAAAGCACAAAGGTGTCAATTCTCTATAAATTAAGTTATAATCCTAATGCAATTTAAATTAAAATACTATCAAGGGATTTTTTCGGAACTAAAAATGTTGATTATAAAGTTAATTTGAATGGATGAAAACTAAAATAGCCAGGAAAATTTCTCCCCCCAAAAAAGACATTCTGAAATATTTTATAGTCTATTTTTTCTTTTATGTATGTGCATGCACTGGGGATTGAACCCAGGCCCTTGTACATGCTAAACATGACTCTATCACTGAGCTACATTCTCAGCCTATTTTTTTCTTTATAATTACGTATCAGCTCATGAACAGACAAATAAGAAATTTAAGAAATAGAGCCAGTTGTATATGCAACTTTAATATGTGCATAGAGGTTGGGGAGATAACTCAGTGGTCAAGTGTGTATTTTGCATGCACAAGATCTTATATTAGCAAAGGAAAGAATAGACGTTGAATAATTGATAATATGGGGAAAGATAACATTAATTCATTCTCAAATTGTACAGTATGATAAAATTTAGATAGATCAGAGATTTAAGTGAAAAAAATAAATGAATCTATATAGGAACTAGAAGAAAACATTGATGAAGTTCTATACAGAGAAGTAGATAAACATTTCTAAATTTTAAAGCAAAATCCAGAAAAAAAATAAGAAAAATGTAGATTGGTTTGTTTATATTTTTAAACATTTCCCTAGCAAAAGATAACACAAATAAAAGTTAAAAAAAAACAGAATAAATTGGAAAAATGTTTGCAATTTATATCAGGTGCAAAGGGTTAATTTCTTTAATACATAAGGAGCTTTTAAAAATAACAACACAACTACTGAAAAATAGTTAATCAACAGTTCATGAAAGAAAAAAAATGGCTCTTAACCGTGTGAAGCAATTCCAACCATCCTCATTATATGAAAAATATGCACATTTTACCAATATAGTATTTCTCATTCACTAGATTCAAAAGTTATTCATGAAAAACAGAATGATCTGTGAGGCTGTGAAAAACGGCACTCCTGTGTGTTGTTGGTTGGAAAGTAACATGGAATGTGGAGTTGAAAATGCGATATGCAGTGCATTATGTATGCACCTTCCTTTGGTTCACTGTTCCTCCCACACATATTTAAATCTCTCCCAAAGATGTACTAGTAAAAGTTTGTCATTTGTTGTTGCTTAAAAAAAAATACACAACGTTTTTCACTATAGAACTGTTCGTAACAAATAAAAAGGATACATAAATAGCCAGGTGCCAGTGGTTCACATCTGTAAATAAATAAATAAAAATACATAAATGTTAATCCAAGGGCATTGGTTCAAGAAACTATGATATCCACAAAATGAAGCACAATGGAGCAATACAGCAATAAAAAGGTATGTATTAAGTAATAATTGTATTAGTTTTTTTGTTGCTATGACAAATACCTGAGAGAAACTATTTAAAGGAGGAATGACTTATTTTGGCTCACAGTTTCAGAGGTTTTAGTCCATGGTGGGCAGAGCCCACAGAGGGACAGAACAACATGGTGACAAGAGTATGTGGTAGAGCAAAGCTATTCACCTTTTGGTGGGCAGGAAGGTGGGAAAAAAATAAGAAGAGTCCAAGGACAAGTTGTATCTTTCCAGAAAACACACCCACTGACCCACAACTTGGCTCCACCTTCCACAGTGCTACTACTTTCAAATA